TCTTTCTTGGGCACACGAAAATCTTTCTTGGGCACACGAAAATCTTTTAAATAGTAAAGCAATTTTTTTCATGTTGAATATTTTTTTTTTTAATATCGATATTGAAACCAGTGTGGAATTGCATTTGTCTCTAAAAAAAGCTCTTTATGACTAAGAACTGCATTAGTAATTTCTAGCAAGCACCAAGGTTTCTGGGATAGACACAACAATCATGGCCAAAACACCAGCCCAGCCAGATAAGGAGAAACTCGAATTGCCCTGATCATTCCTCCTTTAACAAAAGCCCAGAAAAAAGGTGGTTGGGTTTTGTTTGTGTAAATACAACGCGCCAGACATAATATTTTCCTAACGTGATTACAGGGACTGCTTTGAACTTCTCCAACACTTTGTCCTGTATCATTTTTGGATAAGATACTGTAAATGGCATGAGCTGCCTTGTCTGTACACAGCTCAAGCGTGTGGCCAAATGTTTGGTAAATAGCTGGGATATGGCGATGGGGAGAACAGAAGTGGTGCTAAGTTAAATTTCTCTGAAATAACCTGACTTTTTTTTTAATATGCTTTAACATAAACCTTTACTATTACCTTGAACTCATCTCATAATATTTTTAAAGCTTCAACTTCAGACCAAACCATAACGAAATGTTTCCCTGATGGACTAAGTTAATGCACATAAAATTTTCTACCTGAATGTGACAAATGTTTCTCTACAAGGAAAACCTTTTAGTGCAGTAACTTGCCATGCAAAAAAATGTAGTGCTGACACTCTCTGTTGTTTAGGCAAAAATTTGACAGTGGGATTTTAAAGTGTTCAGTTGGGTCTTGTTAGAAATTGGTATGACAGGAGAGTGGAAATGTGGAACTCAGACATGATGTCTGCAAGCTGCTAAAATGTGGTGCTGTATTAAGGATTTTATAGAAATAAAAATCAAGACAGTTTCGCCATCCAAGAAGCTGCCTGAAAGCTTCTGTCACAAGTGCTAACTGCTATATTTGAAAATGTCAGCTTGCAGCAGGAATTCAGCAGTAGTGACTCTGTACTGACCTAGAAGAACTCCTTCTGGGATACCTGCTCTGCCACCAATTAACAAAAAATAAAAATAAAACATTCCTTGTGCTTTGCAGTGGGTAGTTTGAGACTAGATTGCTCTAAGGTCTTAAATTTACCAGGGTATTTCATGTTGCAAAGATACACCTGCAGGTGAGGTCTTGGTATCTCTCACAGGAAGAAGATGAACATCTAAATGAAGTATGTAATGCATTTGTTATAGATATATGAATTTGTTCTCAGATCACTTCACTTTTATCTTTTCTGTCTTTTTTTTTAAGGAGCTGCTTCCCAAAAATGTCAATCACAGTTGGATCGAGAGGGTGTTTGGCAAGTGTGGTAACGTGGTTTATGTCAGCATACCCCGGTACAAGAGTACTGGGGACCCAAAGGGCTTTGCTTTTGTGGAATTTGAAACTAAAGAGCAGGCAGAGAAAGCTATTGAGGTGAGTGCTGGTGCCTCTGCCCTGTCAACATCACTGTCATCTTAATAGTTTGGTCTTTATTACTTCACCTGCTGAATCCTAGAGAAATTCCTAAAATACCATGATTTATAAACTTCACTTACCAGGAGTTATGTTCCTGTCTCCTACCCCCAGATTTCCAATCAGTTCCACAATTCTTTAAAAATTAACTCTATTAATAAACCTAAGACTTAACAGAAGCATAATAGGTATTTTTTTCAATAATTTGGTTGGCCTCACTTTGCATCTCTTACTGAAATAAAGCTCAGTGTGTAACATTACAATGGCTATTAAATTTTATCAGACAAGCACAGTCATGCCTAACTTTCTGTATTTCACTGTGATTTGAAAGTATTTCTGTGCTGGAATATGATTAGGACTGCTGGCTGTAACTTGGATGGAGAGTCTTTAAAAAGCATGATTTTTAGCAATGGTTTGTTTTCATTTTCCTTCTCTTCAGTTTTTGAATAATCCACCAGAAGAAGCACCACGGAAACCTGGGATTTTCCCCAAAACAGTGAAGAATAAGCCTGTTCCTACACTGAACACAAGTGACAGCACTGTAGTAGGTAAGTGTTTGAAGTTATTTGGATCAGTTTTGTGCCTCAGCTGCTGAAGAGAAGGTGGAACTGTTGCTCTTTCAGCAGGAGCACTCTGTAGAGGAATGAACTTGCTACAGCATTTCTACATTACCTCTTTGCATGATTCATAATTACTGGGGGGGGAAAAAGGGATATTGCTGAGAAAAAAAAATCCTGAATTGACATCTGGACGTGGTTCCAATAAATACAATCTACTGTAACTTATAAAGCAGCATCACAGGATGATGTTGCAACTTAATCACTGAAACATTTTTTCCTGCTTTCTGGTGGTGTAACACACAATTTCCCAGACTTCAGACACTGCCCATCTTTTTCCATAAGCTTTATGATAAATCATGTTATTATACCTCACAATTACCACTATTTTTGTTACACCACTAACTGTTGGGGGGGAAATAAAATCCATTTTATTTTTCCTGGGTTTTTTTTTCTCTCTTCTTAAAATGCCCAGGAAAAACTGAGGAATAATGTGTTGCATCTCTCCCAGGGATGCCAGACAGGCATCTCACTTACCACGTGTCATGATTAACTGGGTTGTTATCATGATTGTTTAACTTATTTAAGTTTGTCATCATGGGCAGATATAAATATGGTGTTTTTAACACAGAGGAGAAGAAAAAGAAGAAAAAAAAGAAATCCAAAATGAAGAAAGAGAGCAATGCACAGGCAGCTGCAGAGCCCAAGGAATCCAACACCAACACTACAACGGAGCCAGCCCCCAAATCAAAAAGACACAGGACTCCATCTGAGTGTTCTGAAATGGAGGGAACTGAGACTCAAAGGCAGCCCTCCAAGAGGGAGAAAAGGAAATGGGACAAAACAGAAAATTCAGAGGTAACTTGTGAAAGCAGGCCTGGGAAGAGAAAAAGAACCAGCTCAGGAGATGGGGAGACATCGGCTCCCAAAGTCAAGAAAACTGCTGAAAAGGAAGAAGCTGAAACAGTAAAAGAAGAAACAACAGAAGCTCCAAAGGATTCCAATGGTAAAGGTTGTTGTCTCTGATGTATTATTGTCATGGTTCATAGATCAGTGGATATATTATTAAGTCATTTTAGGAGTGTGTGGTGTTCCCTGCAGTTAAATTTAAACCTGGTAAGGAATCATTCCAAGGAGAGGAGCTGCATGGAGAATGGGGAAGGACTTGCAACACCAAAGCAGGTTAATCTAATCAGAGTCAATAAAGCTTAAGGATGGGTTAAAGACAGTCTTGGCAAATGGGGACAGCATAGGACTGTAGATAAATACATTAAAATACAAAAGGAAAATGCTGATGATCCCAGTGTGTTCCATGAGATAAGGAAGCTGCACTGAAATCACATGTAGTGGTGTGACAAGAGTATAAAAAAACTCAGGTAATTGATGAACTGCACTGGAAATAGTCAATAGAAAAAGTTTTTATTCATTGATTTTATTAGAACATATTTTAAAATGTTACACTGCTACTAATAAAAATTTTTTTTCTTTTGAACTTTTTCGTGTAGAAGTGCCTGCAGAAGAAGACAAAGATAAAAAAGACACATCTCTTTCAAAAGCTAAAAGGAAACACAAGAAGAAACACAAGGAAAGGCACAAAATGGAGGAAGAAGTCATCCCCCTCAGAGTACTGTCCAAGTAGGTGACATAACTGGGTAGAGGTTTCTTAGGCTTGTTTCAGGATGAGTTTAAGAAGGCAAAAAAAACCCCTAAGTTTTCCTACTTTTCTCTCACCTTCAGTTCTGGATAAGGCTGTAATTTGATTATTGGCAGATTATCAAGAGATTTTATATATTATTTTACTACAGGCTTGCACTGGTCCCCTAGGAGAAGTTAGTACTGTATATTATTATATATAATTTAACCTCGGGGATTTTCGTGAACTGTGTTGCTGTTTTGGTACCATATATTTTAATGATTAAAATATTTTTAATGTTTAGGTTTTTTTTCCTGCAAAATATCTTCTACAGAAGAAAGTCTTAAATACATCTTGTGCATACTTTATTGACATCGATAAATTCAATACAAGTACTTTATAGATTATTCCAAGGCTTAGCAACATTAATTTTATTTAGGTTTCTTTAAATCTATGCGTGTCTGACAGTCCAACACCATTGCTACAGTGCAATTCCAGTTGTTTACAACAGAGTTACACATTAGCAACAGTATCAGCCTGTAGATTGAAAATTCCGATAGTTCCATGTGTAAGTCTCTGCAAAACACGAATTAATTAATATCTGTTGGGCTCTTAGGAGTCACCACAACTAAAACATGGAAGCACTTACTTTTTAATCATCCAGCAAGTACCTCCCATGTTAAAGTTGAGGGGGTCCTTGCCATCTTGGGCTGTACCGTGATGAAAATTGTGCTTTATGTATAAACACATTTCGTTGGTATTTTGACACGTTTCTTAGAGGGAAGTGTGGAGGAAAATAAGGATTCACCACCACTAAAACATGGAAGCACTTACTAATAAAGAACAAAGCAAGTACATCCACATTTAAGTTGTGGGGGTCCTTTGGTGGAGAAACTAAATGATAACTAAAAAACCCACCCCAAGCTAAAGATTGTTTTGACAGTGCAAATAAAGACATGCATGTGGTTTTCACTTGAGAATCCTTGGAATATTAGGATCCACCGCCACTGAAACATGGAAGCACTTACTTTTTTAGGCAGCAGGTACCTCCATGTTAAAGCAAAGGAAGTCCTTTAAAACTTAAAAATGAACTTTAGCCATTTAAAATTCTTGGTCTTGAGGAAGATCTGCTCCTGCCGAAAGTCTTCAGTCTTGCTTTTTCCCGAATTTAAAAATCATTTCAATGAACTGCAGCCAAAAAAACCCCAAAAAAATGAAAATCCCATGAGATGTTTCAGGATTGCGATCAGGATTCACCTCTACTAAAACATGGAAGCACTTACTTTTTCTATATCACAGAAAGCACCTCCATGTTAAAGTAAAAGGGGTCCACACACTCAAAAAGACAGTTATTGACGGTGCTTGTCCTCTTCCATCAGGATTCCGAGCACCTGCAACAAAGAGAGAATTTGAGTTAAATTTAATTTTACTGTAGCAAAAGGGAGAGATAAAAAGTTTGATAAAAGAGCACAAGCATTGCAAATACTTACCTGATGGAGTCCCCTTGGGCTCTTCTCCCTTGAGCTCAAGCTCAGCAGCTTGTATTTATACCAACCCTATCCGAGGCATGGTGTTGCCTTTTTATCTCCAAGAATCATTACGTGGGCCTTTTGTTATTTTAATGCCTTTGCTCTGCTGAGAATGTATGATCCTGGGTGAGTCTGGATGCTGCTTTTTTTTTTTTTTTTGAAGTATACAGTTGTCACTGTTAACAGCTAAAACCATTACCACAAGATATCCTCCTCTTTAAAAATCCTCTATCAGCTCGTTTGATAGCACAGATTAGGGTAACAATGAGTCGTTCTCACAGTGGCACCGCGGGCATTGTGTGGCTGTAGAGCAAAGCTCTCCCCCTGTTTGCAGAAACATCTCCATGTTAAATGTATGTAAATATAGAAATTGGTGCCATGGGGGGGGGTAGTTTTTCACCAAAATACATTTGAATAGGAAGGAATGTCCTTATCTCGGTGGGGTTTTGGTGGGTTTAACCAGCTGTTGATTTTCCATCAATGATTTTTCCAGAAAATAAATGAGTGATTCTTAATATAGTGACACAGGAGTGGGTTCAGTGAACTAATTCAGTGAATTCAGACTGTATTGTCTCTGAATTAACTCTGAGTTTAGTGCCTGTGCTCTGTGAAAAAAAACAAGTTTACCAACTGTTCTACATGCTGTCTGAATACCTAAAACAAATTTGGGAGTCTCTCCATTGGAATGGTAGGTTGGTCCTGTTGGAACTCTCTTGGCTTATTAAATCGAAAGCAAAACAATAAAAAATTTGCATGGGGACAAGGTTTAATTTGACTGAAGTGCAAGAATGGTTTTAACTGTTTAATGGCTTTAACTGTTCACCGAGTAGACCTTAAACTGTTTGTAAACTCTTAAATGATCATTAAGTTTCTAAACTTGTTTTCTTGTTTACGACTGACATGCTGTGCCTGTGTTGCCTCTTCCAGGACCGAGTGGATGGGATTGAAGCAAGAATATTTGGCCCTGCAGAAAGCCAGTATGGCCTCACTAAAGAAAACTATGTCTCAAATCAAACCTGAGCCCGCGGGGGAGATGGAAACGGAATCCTGCGCCCAGAAATCGCAAAATCACAAAAGTAACCCTGGGTTCTATCTTGTTTTTTATGTTTCTACTCCACCAGCACAAGGAATCTAAGACACTGATCTTGCAGAAATGCTGCCACGTGGTTTTATTTTCTGAAATGCTGGTGCTATCTCTGAGTGCCAAATTTTAAAAGCAACGTCCCCCCTGTATTTAGAAACATTTGGGACTGAGGTGCTTTATAAATAAAGACCAAACAAGCCAATTCAGCATATTCCAGTAGCCTTTCTTAAGCTTAAGGATATTTTTAGGTAAATGTAATTTTAAAAGCCTCAGAGGTATAAATCAGGAATCAGCTTTTTTGGGGGTACAGCTCAGGCCTGATTTACTTTGGCTTAACTCTACCTGCAATGATTCACAAAACAATTTCATTAAAAAACCCCATCTTGCAATTGGGCTTTATCTGCTTCATGATTCAAAGGAGTTTTGTAATTATGTCCTTATATTTAAATTTCTACCGTTGTTGGATATAGAGATGTTCTGTTGTTGCTGTGAAAAGAAGCAAAGAAAATTCACAAACTTCAGCACTTGTGTTTCAATGCCTGTCTGCATATTTTTGATTGCTCTAAAACTGAAGGTTCAACTATTAACTATAATCAATAGAATATAAGGACACTGTGGACTGTAAAAACCTTTTTTAAGATTCTTTTCTTGAAGTGATCTTTCTTTTTTTACTTACATTGACTTTAACCTGTGGACAATCTTGACCTTGGTTTAAAAAACCACAGCTCATCTGCACTAACAATATTTGATGCTTGTTCACCTTGTTACTTCTGCGCTTGCATAACTTTAATTTCTCAATTTAACACACTTTAAAACTTTTTTTTGGTGTTTTTTTTTCACCTCCTGTTTTTAACTCGAGCAGCCACCGGTGAAGATTGTGCCCCTCCCGCCAAGGCCAACACAATGGGGCCTCAGTTCGTCAGCGGAGTAATTGTGAAGATCATTAGCACCGAGCCCCTGCCGGGCAGGAAGCACATCAAGGTAATGCCTTTGTAACCTCAGGGAAGCTCTTGGCCCTTCCTCTCGCCGTGCCCCCCAAATGTTTGAATATGGAATACCGTTTAACCCAGGCTGGCTG